CCCCCCCCCAGAGCATCAACCAAATCACTTTCTTTGGTGTATGATGTCGTCATCATAAATGATAAGGGAAAGACCCCCCCCCTTACAACAGGCGTTCAAGCTTGGAGTTCGCGCATCACTCAGGGATAATGGGTTGTTTATTGTCACGGTACAGTAGGGTAGGAGTTGCATATACTGCTAAGTACCAAGCACACTTGTTCTTGATTTCTTATTTACCTCGCGATTTATTTCTTGATTCCCTTTGCCAGGCAGACTATCTTTTGGATCTGTACGTGTACAGTACATAAGCTGCATTGTAATCTAGCTTAGATATCCTTCTTCCATATTCGGATCTTTGTTCTTGCTGTGTATGTACACAAGCTAGACGCCGGGGGGAGGGGCGGTTGATTTCACCAAGCTTTCAATATACGAACCGAATTATGGAACACGCAGTGTGTCTGTATGTACAGGAGACAGAATGAACAGAAGAAGTAAAACCAAACACGGGGTATAGGAAGGGTAAAGCACCTTTTTATCCGTATACTTACTTCTAATTTCCCCAGAGAAAACACAGAAAAGCAAATACAACGCTAGGAAACGATAACGACCAAGAGCCGGTTCCCGATACATGTGAGTCGTGTTAGCTTCCAAATCACAGGAAAGAAGATGAAGAAATCTACATTTATCTTCACGTCTTCGTCGTCTTCTTCAACTCTCCTTCTCCGGACTCTCTCACCTCATCCTCGCTCCCCGCCAGGCTGACATCCTTACTCTCGTCCGTCTGCTTGCGTAATCCAAGATGTTTGCCCCAGTCCTGGATCGACGCTGCAGCTGTGGCCGTCAGCTCCGCGGCGATGGAATGGTCGGACGCCGTCGAGGATTTGTGTCCGTGCTTGTGTTTATGGTGGCCGTGGTCTTTTTTGGAGGAAGAAGAGGAACTCAGGTTCCTCGGAGCACCACCACCACCTTCCGCGGGGTCCAGATTCTCCTGTTGATCGGAGTCGGTCGCATGAATGTGCCAGTCCGAGGGCTGGGTTTCGGGGGCTAGCTCCCCGGGTTTGGGCTCGGTGATGGGTTGGCCTTCGTCCGCGCTTGTGGCTCCGTTGGTCGTATGGTCGATGCTACTCCTCGCACCACTACCGTGGTGCTGGGAGGAGGCGTAGCGCCAGACGACTTTGACGCGGTCGAGGGCCTTGACGCCCTTGCGGGTGGTACCCTTGATACCGTCCAATGCGTCCCACTCGCTTGAAAATAACCCGGAGTCGTGCTCATGGCCGCCCTCGAAGTAGGCGTTGAACCAGACGTGGGCGATCGAGGTGACCATCGCCCAGCCCGTGTAGGCGGCCTTGCTGCGGCGTTCGAAGTCAATGTTGACGTCCGATGTGGGTATGATGATGGGTTGCCGAGGCCGGAAGATAGCGTTGGAGATGTGCTTGATAGGGTTGTTCTGGGGTTTGGCTGACGTTGAACCAGTTGATGAAGATGTTGTTGTTGTCGGTGTCGCGGAATCGGCCGTGACCGAGGAGGCCGGATTTTCGGGGGTAGAACTGCCTGTCGGGGATGATCTTGATGACTCTTCGGGGCTACCGCCGCTGCTGTTATTGCTGCTGTTCCCCTTCTGCTGCAGCGGGTGTGCGTTTTCATTCTTGCTTTCGGGAAGGATCACATTCACGTCGTCTACGACCGTGCGCTCGGTTTTATGGAATCGGTGGAACCGCTTGATCCTCTTCCCCTGGTCGACATAACCCTCCACGGCGACCTTGACCCCATCTCGGAGGCCCCAGACATGTACCTCGAGGATTTCAACCGGTCGTTCAATGTACTTCTTTTCCAGCTGATTCGACCACCGATCCACATACCCCACCCAGCGCAGTTGGCTCGGTATGCTGACACCGGCACCGAACCCGACCCTCATGCGGCGCTCCGTGAACCGCTGCAGTGCGTCCTCCGCCTTCCATCCCTCCTGGCTGATTAGGTAGCTGCAGGCGACGGTCCCACTGCGGCCCTTGCCCGCCTTGCAATGAACGACGGCAACCCTGTCGGGCTTGTCACTTTTTAGTTTGTTTGCGGACTCGGGATCATCCAGTCGGTGGATGTAGTTGCGCATGCTCCCCGTGATGGCGGGGAGGAGAGCAAACGGGGGCGGGTGGTGGTCCGGCCACGGGTAATGATGGATCCGGCCATATACTTCAGAATCGGGGTATCCTGTGCCCTCCGCACGGAATTCCCAGATGCACCAGTCGCTGCCGTGCTTGGAGTCGAGGTACTTGACCAGTTCGTCAAGGGGGTTTCTGTATGCGCGTTGCGGGTAGTTGGAAGAAGGACCGGAGGTCGCGATCACTGCGGTGCGGAGAGAAGGAGTTGGCCATTAGTGCGGCGATGAGATTTCAGGGGAGTCCAGATATAGCATACAGTTGTCCGTCACGTAGCAGAGATCCAAGCCTGCTTCGGGATGCTGCTGTCTAGGACCAGCGACAATCTGTCGTAGGATCGACGCCTGCGCCGGGAAATTATGTCATGTCAGGTCCCGTATTGGCATGCCAGGGGTGGGGGAGGGAGAAGGAAGCTCAATCCAAGCTGAGACGTACCATGAGATTCTAAGGGAAATTCTTACGTGCTGCAAAGGAAGGGTCCGGCTCAGAGATCTATCTCTGGTGATATAAAGAGGACATGCGCGTCTCTGGCCTGGTCATTGGCAGCGCAGATAATTAATGATGCGTGAGGTAAAGCACGCACGGGCTTCAACCCGGTGATGATCTCCAATTTCTGGGGACCCAGGAGAGATGGAGATATTCGCGAATGATGACGGGTTCCATCCACCTAGTCCAAGCAATAATGATCGCCACAGCTGTGCAATTTTCGGTGTGGAGGAGATGAGGAAGGAAGGAGAGCAACGGGTGATTGCAGATGTTGACGGCGATGATGTCACCGGATGACTTCCCTCCATTCGCCCCTCATCAACTGGCATTCGGTCAATGCAACCAGTCAATTGCCCACCCGAGTCTAGACAATATCCATAAGCATGGGAATTACTGAGTATGAAGTAACTTGAATGCTTTTTCATTCGGTTGGTCATAAAATTGTGTCCTGCATTAGCCACTTTTTGCCCATCATGTAACCAGACATTATTAGGTAAACAACCCCTATCCCATAACTATCAACAATACACAACAAAGAAAAAGAAAAAAATAGACATGATAATCATATGATACAAAAACAGTTCGTATCCCACACCTCCGTCGAATTACCCTCCGGAGGGTAATATCATCTTCAGCAAACACCAGGCAGGGCGGGGAGATTGGCTCATCTCCTACTTCTTTAGGCGACTCCATACTCCTCGGTAACGGGGATTGTAAACCGCGGTGTCGAGGAGGTGACATTAGTCTCTCCGAAAGCAAAGAACTCGGCATCGCCAGGGAGGATCCATTCATGTTCAGCCCGGACATTCCACAGCGGATACGGCTCGGCTTTGACGCGGGACTTGATCAAAGGGTTCTGGCAGGAGACGAGGTCGTCGGAGCTGCTATCCGTGGTCGTACCAGAGCAGGTAGTATTGAAGCCAGGCGTGTTCTTGGTTGCCACACCGAGGATGTTGAAGTTGTAGACGCAGCCTCCCGGCGAGCAGCCGGTGGTGAAGTTGGAAACGTGCCAGGTCAACGCCGCGCTGTCACGGCGACTGGGATAGGAGATAGGCGAGGCAGAGGTAAGGCTCAGGGTGGAGAGAGCAAGACCGAACAAGGTGGTGAGCTGCATGATGGTGGGAGTAGAAAGTAGATCGGATGAATTAGGTTTGATCAGATCGGGTTTTAATTGAGTCCTTGCGCCTGGCGACCACGAAGTATATATGTATACAGGTGGGGTGGGTTGATATGTTTGACAAGCAAGAGACAAGCACCAACTTCAATAGAAATTAAGTATTACCAGTAAGTGCTGAGCAAGTATGAAGATAGGCAGAGGAGGAAATGAGAAGATGGATGAAATCGTGATGAAGAAAGGGGAGGAGAAAGAAGAATGTAGCGAGCAGCAACGGCGACTTGATATAACCCCGGTTCTGCTGTAGCGACGGCAGCAGCGTTGGCACCAGCAGGGAGGAGGAACGGAGACTGATGGAGAGACCCCTCGCCTCCGTCTGGAGCCGATGTTTTTCTTTTCTTAGAAGCTGTAAAAGCAATCCTGATGCAGCGGGAGAGCATTTCGACCCCAACAGTGGAGCGAAGCGAGAGTAGGTGAAACGAACCACTGGCAACAGGGACAACTCATTGGCCCGAGGGTGGCTGATCGCGCGGAATTTGAGCGAAGATCCCTTTGGTTGCCCACCTGCATCGAAGAACAGGGAGGAACGACTTGATCTATGAGGCGTTTAGTGTGTGACAGACCATGGTTACACAACTGACGGTGAGAGAAAGTTTGTGCTTAACAAGCTGGAGGAAGATTCGACCATGTTTTCGTCCCAGTGTGGATGTAAACCCTTCTGAATAAGGTACTGTGATTATAGTCATCCTGCACTGTAAGTTACATGATACAAACCACTGAGCCCTAATGTAGTTAGCCAAGAGGCACCCAATATTATAGGATTTCGACCAACCTACCACAACAATAACTTGTTAGGATTGTTTAACTAACTATTCACTCTGTACACAGTAAGTACGGAGTACGGAGAGACGGCAAAGACATCAAACCATCAAACGGGTGGTCCCAGCGGGAACTCCGGGCGCATTAATCACCGGAGGTTTGACCATGCGACGCCCGCCGTCTCACATGCAAGCTTAATTCTTCGGCCTCGGGGAACTTCCCCAATCTTCCTGTTCTTTCGCTCCTAAACCTGTTCCTAATCCTCTTGGAACGTCTCTCAGCTACTCCATATCCGGAGTACCAGGCTTAATTTCTATGTTTAGACAACTTGATCGATAACTAAGGGGTTGGGGTCTAGTATAGATTGGCTCGTTTCAAATAGCTTCTTGCTTGCTGCTATTCACATCTCCGATCCATCATCAGCTAATTATCTCATCCTGCGTATCGAGTGAATACTAGATACCTTATACTACAGTATGTGGTAGTTCTACATATCAAATTTCACTCTTTGGAATGGCTTGCCAATGCTGGAATGTGACACCCCATAGAACTCTCAAGATTGAATCCTTACTTACATGAATGATACAACTGTACGCTTCGAGGTGATGTGAATTTACGCTCATCTAGAATAGTGAATCACTTTATCATAGAGGGTCTCCTTGAATCTGACGTCCTGGGGTAATTACATAACTCAAAATGGCCCCAGACCATCTCCTCTCAACTCTCTTCTCGACAACTCTTACGCCTGACATAAGGACCACACTATCCTCCATCTCCCTTACACGTCTATACTCTCTTCGAGTAGCTGGACTGACAAGACCCTTTACTTTGAACCAATTCATAGATGACTCGTGGTTGATTAACATTTTTGAAGGCACAAAGAACGATCTTCTTCTTGCACAATCTCCGTTGGACCAACCTCGGTCACGACCGGAACAGCAGTATGCTTAAGCTTTCCAGGGCCGTTCTGCTTCACTCATCGGCAGTTCCGATTCTCTGTGAGTAAAGGCAACGAAAAGCCTTCTTTTGCGGCTCTAATCCTCGCCCTATTCTCAACATGAAGCCTCTTATGCCGCTGCTACGATGACCCCTATTGGGATAACTTCTGACATAGTGCCACACAAGGCCACACAAAGAACAATGACACATCGTGGAGATCCAACGGCTCTCTTGAGAGCATCCCCCTCGGAGTGTATCTACTTAATTTTAACATCATCATCATCATCAATCGAATTGATTATTCATTCGAATCGTCGTACTCGTGTTCTCGTTTTCAGCTGGTGCTCACACTCGGACCGGATCTCGTCCAGGACATCAGCATTACCACTTTGGTCCGGGAGTCGCACGGAGGACCGTTGTGACGCGGGGCCTGTGGGCTTATCAGGCGAATCAGTGTCATTGCGAAGCCATTGAAGGTACAAGACCGAACACCCCTCCCTCCTCTGCGCTCTATTCCTTATATCTGCAGTATAGAGCCATAGCCCGTGAAAATGTGATTTGATTTCGGGATGGTTGCGAGCCAGCAAAACATAACCTTCTGGCAGACGCAGAGAGAATGGCATACGGACAAGCGCTCACAATATCAACATCGGCAACTGAATAGCAATAAGACTAGAGCACGAATAGCAAGCCTTCTATGTGGCGCGCAATCCATCATGCGCAACTCAGCAAGCCCAAACGGACTACTGCAGAAATTGGACCGGCAAGCATCATCTGGGTTTCAAGTTTCGAAGCGGCGAAGATGGACCCAGAATGGCAGAGGCTTTGCAGACTGTGAAAGGTGCAGACGAGTTAAAGGAATGGTTGCGTTCCGATCTATTCGAGCCCCATCTTCACAAAATCTACTACAATGCCGTATTGCCAGCGCAGGCAGCGCGCGAAATCATCACACGAGCCGAGGTGTCCTGAAATGACAGCAGACCGATGCATCTGTTGTTACTGGCATGGAACGTCACACCTCCTAACCCCCCATACTCACAACAAGCCTTCCCACCTTCCACCAGTAAATCCTGCCTTGCCACAGCACAAAGTCTTATGATCACAGCTAGCATTATCTCCTGGCTTGAAGTCTCTGCAAATGCTAATGGCCATTGAGCTATTGCTCTTCGCAAGGCTGCAAATGCCTAAGAGGCACGGGTTATGGCAGATCATAACCTTTGCTGCATTGCCGGGTCTGAACTCGGATTGGGCTCAGCAAGACCGGGTCTGTTACTTTACTAAGAGAGGTAGACGATCGACACCAGTTTATGCCAGCAACAATGGCAAAAAAACCTCGAGTCCCAGAGAGAGAATCATGAACAAGCCTGATTCTGCCCTTGGCATGAAAGACACCCGACCTAACGTCCCTCCAATGCCAGGGATGCGAATCCAATGTGCACTCCGCTTCTGGCAATCCGTGGCGATGCGATACATGCTCTCACCGAATTTGCCCAAGATCGAAATCTCACTGTGCGTGCTATCTTGGCTGATCCAGTGGGTCTAGGGAAAACATGGATCGGAACAGGGTACCTTTTTTCAGTCAGTCCCCCAAGCCCCTAAGTAAAACGGCATTCAATGTCATCGAGAGAAATCAACAAGCTTATTAGCTTATCAATGATGTCTCAGAACGACAGATATAAACTTTCCCATGTGGCTTGGCCACCCCAGGCGAAAGGGTACTCGGAGGAAAATGAAATATGCAGTGCGCATCGTACCTACCCGTATTGTGTCTCAGATACCATATCGTGGATAAGATACAACCATCCTCCTTGAGATGCTTGGGATGGCGTCAAGGAATAATGAACTTCTTATGAGCATGACCCAAGAACGGGAGTAAATAATAGAGCAATGGAATGTTATTACCCTCTATCTCAATGACCAAGTAGTAAACCAAAGCCTCCAAGCCCGACCATCCATGATTTCGATTGTGCTCTTACTTCCCCCTTTTCGTCAAAGGGTAGATGAATATCTTGCTGTAATTCACGCACCATAGTACAAGCGCAAGCGGCAGCAAGTTGCTTAGTGTAGGTATAATCCACCGGGTCCATCCTTGGCTTCTTAGGGCAAAAACGCGATTATCCTAGACGCGAACACCGTCAGCGCGGTGCAGACCACGACCACAGGAGTGAACTCGAGAGTCCTAAGTTCATTTCCCGAATAACGTTCGCAATCTTGCCGGTACTTCACTTACTCGCGTGAACTACTCCAGCAAGCCTCTTTTGGCCGTCATCTGGAAGACTAAGTTGTGACGGTCATTAATTATACAACAGGCTTCAAGGTGGTTCAATTCCTCGGAAATCGGAAATGACTGATGTCATGGTCCAAGGGGGCCAGGGATTTAGCCCCCCTCCCTCTCTGCTCCATTTTCGTGCATTTATAGCATGTATATTTAGATGTACTGTACATGGTGTGATTGTCAAGATCATCTCTTGTGTCGGGTTACAGTTGACCAGACTCAATCCAACTTTGGATCCTCTCCTTTGCTGCGTATCAGCTGGTCCTCGGGAATAAGACCGCCCGGCTCGTAGTCCATCCAGCCTTCCTCCTCCTGTGCGCGCTGGATGGCCAGCTGCCTCCTCTTCCTCTTGCGCGCCTCCTTCGACGCTTGCCGCCGCGCATTTTTCCACAGTTCCTTCGACTTCTTCGACCAGGTCGCTCGGACAAAGGAGGGTCGCCACGTCAGGGTGGGATATCTGGGGGAGTCCCGCCAGGGCACGTCGTCGGCGGTCTCTTGGCTCAGCTGTCGCTCACCACCACCATACTCATGGGCAGCGTTTAGCTCATCCACCAGGCACTGGACAGAGCCATCCTGGATCCGGGGATGGCGTCTCAACTGGACCGCGTACGGATCCCGGGAGTGAGAGCAGACTTCCCGAATGGCGGCGCGGGTCTCCGCGCTCGGATCGAATCCCCGGTTCAGCAGGTCCTGAAAGTACATATACCCGGACTCAAAATTGTCCGCGTCCAGACACATCATCGTCAGGTGCTCGAAGGTGGTCCCATCGGGGACGACGCCCAGCGCTGCCATCTCGTGCACCACGAACATGCCGGCGTCACTGTCCCTTGCACGGCGGCACATGCTGATGAGCATGTTGAAGACGGAAACGTCGGCCTTCTCCGAGCAGAGATCGTACAGTTCGTTGTACAGCGCGACACCGTCTTCGACTGCGAACGGATCGTGGAGGGCCTCATGCTCGCACAACTCCAAGATCGCCGCGGCGCAGCCGAGGGGCACCTCAAAATTCGCGGCTTTGAGTTTCTTGAGCATGGCCCACGCGTCATGGGGGACCGTGTCTTTCCGGATCATGTAATCGAGCACGGCCCGCGTGGAGCTTCGTTCCAGCGCGATGCCGGCTTTGTGCATCTTGCAGAGAACCTCAAACCCGGCGTAGAGGTCCCCAGACACCACATAGGCTTCCACCATACTTTCGTAGTCCGAAAGAGTGACGGGGATGTCCGACTCGACAAGGAAGCGGATCACAGATGTCCCGAGGGCGACGTCTCCAGTGCGCGCCGCAGCCGCCAAGACCTTGCTGCAAATCTCGTGCGGAGGTTGCAGGTACTGCAGCTCCACCATGCCCCTCCAGATAAACCGGGTAGTCTCGTAGTGAGAAGCCTCGCTGGCCACATCCAAGACATACAGGCACAGCTCGGGTGTCATGTCGAGGTGTTGATCCGTCCGAGAGCGCATCAACCGGAGCACCTCGTCGAACTCTTGGTATTCACAGAGATAGTAGACGAGCATGTTGAACAGCCAGCTCTCGATTCCCACCCCCTTCCGCTTCATCTGATCGATATGATCCAGAGCCAATTCGAATTGGTGTTCTCGAAGCAGCCCAGCCACCACGTAGTGCCACCCCATCGGACTCAGCGGGAGCCATCGTTCTCGAAGTGTGCGTATTATGTCTTGGCGCAGCATGTAGTCGGGGTGGACAGCAGATACCTAAGCGCAAAACCAAAGACTGTCAGCGCAGAATTCAAGACGGGGCCTGCTTGGATTTGTGGGGGATTTGGCCGGTACATACCTGGAGAGCAGCGTGCAGCGTACCCGAGTCCGCCGGTATCCCATTATCCTCCATCTCCGCTAGTAAACTGCGGACCGTATCTGTTGACCCGCGCATCGCATCGGAATGGGCGAGGACGAGAGCTCTGTAGTGCCGCGTCTGCGGGGGTATCTGGCGGTCACGGACGAGAATACGCAGTATCTGCGTGGCACTTTGGATCCGGGGGTTATGGGATGTGAGCTCCTGCAGCCTGGTTTCCAAGCTCTGGGTCTTTATCCCCGCGAGAGTTTCTGGGGCGTCATCGGCGGCATATGTCGTTGATAGGTCTATTGAGCGTCTTGCGCTTCCTTGTTGGTCATGACCATCCCCATGCTGCTGAGAGGTTGCTTGGTCGGGGATTGAGCGAGGTATTTCCCCATCGCCTAAATGTTTCTTCGGGGCATTTGAGTCGGGATGTTGTTTGTTGAGGTATTGTCGAATTGGTGTATTCGGTTGGGGACCGAATGATGAATTATTTCGGCTAGAAAACCGCCGGGCTCCTTGTAGAGCAGTTCTGGCCCTATGGAGGGTATTGAAATTGAACGATGGACACAGGCAAAACCACAGTCCGTCCAGAACAAGATTCGTTCGTGGCATTGCGAGCGCTTGGAGAGGCGTTCGCAGTCGACATCTCGAGATCGAGAAACAAATTACGGGAGTGCACGTGATCCCAATGCTAATCGGGCATTATTATGGGGGATGATGATAAAGGATGGCGATAGACCAGGACGAAGCAACGCCTTCACTTTTTGCTACTCGGTATGTATTACTTTGAGACAACCTGAATCTCAGAACCAGAAAAGAATTGAATAAGAAGCAGAAGCGCCCAGACGGCGCAATTCCCATTTGACAAATACAACCAGATACGCCAAGGCCATGCTCGACTGTCAACCGCCAAACGGACTTCCTCCTAGCGATAGCTACCTGCTTTAACAACAACTTTCAATCCCCGGGGTATCTTTCATGTCTCTCTTCTCATTCTTTTCGTGAAAAAAACAAAAGGAATTAGGATCAGATCTCTAGTTGCCGCCCCGACCCCGACCGCGGCCACGACCCCGACCACCACCACGGCCTCTGTCGCCTCGACCACCTTCGCGTGGGCCACGGTTCCGGTTCTGCGGCTGGTTCTGCTGTTGTTCCTTCACCATTTCCACAATCTCTTCGGGGATGCGTAGGTATTTGATCTATGAGAAAGAGGGGAAACGGTCAGATGTTGAAGACTCGGGGGAACCGAGCCACTGCTTGGCTCCTTCCGTGGGTGCACTCACATTGTTTCCTCTGACGTAGACTTCCGGTAGGCGGAAGAACTTGTCTCCCTCGGGACTCGTCTGGACAACTTCCTTGAGTATGAGGTTCATCCAGTTGTCGCAGTTGGCGAGATGTCCATTGAGCGTCTCGCCGTTCTTAAGTTCGACGAGCATGGGGTGGCCCTGCGCGGCCGTCAGGAGACCTAGAGGCAACTATTCACGGAGTCAGCAGAGTTAAAAAGTACAGAGAGGATCAATTGCGGCTGGAGTGGTTTACCATCTCTGGAGACTGTTCAGCAAGGTAGGATATTGACTTGATAAGTGGAGTGGTACGCGTTTGCGCAAGCGCTCAATCGATGGTCTGTAAATGTCTGAGACCGGCAGATTAGATTTGAGTGTGGAAATGGTGGGAATCAAAGATCGCAATGTGAATATTGAAGCAAGAATCACGGTTAAGATGTGGTAATGAGCGCGGGCTGGAAGAGGCTCCGCATGAGCTTCCATGCTGTGGCGGTGATCGCAGCCCCGGGCCAATCCGGAAAAACATGGCCCCGCGATTGGCCGGCCAGCCCTCATATCTCCTTAAGAGTCCAGTGACCCTGGCTTAGTTCCATTGTCTGTGTCCGGCCGTATTTAGTCTGTTGTTCCCCCCAAATACAATCAATTCGAAGGATGCGCTTTTCTCTTCAACTGTAATGCTTATGCTCCCTGAGATTACCAATGGGATAGCTTATTATTTCTCACACAGCCTCATATATTGAAGATATAACCAAAGTGTTTTTCTCGGACTCAACTATATACATCATGAGTGACAGGCGTCGCATCTCCACTCTGGGCTCCGTATCCCGATGGTCAGCATTCATGATGTTTACCCTCATCACCGACTATACAGTCGAGGGGGCTCCTGTTGCTCACCATAGCATCGACCACTCCTTCCCAACGCGTCTCAGTCAGTAGTTTCACACCGTACCAGCAGCCACTCATGACAGGATTCTAAATGTCCCATGTAGTAGACAATGCAGCCGCGACCAAGATGGCTCGGTCGCTATGTCTGGCCGAAGACTCCGACCGGAGCTGCGGCTTGCTCAGGAAGATCTCCGAGTACAAGCAGCAGGTGTCCATCACGAAGCTCGTCGTGCTCGCCTGCCTTCTTGCTGTATGCGCCGTGGTCTACCGGATCTGTCTGAACACGATGTACTGTCAACGCCGCCGGGTCGACCGAGCAGCGCAGCGCGAAGAGAGGAAAGCTCGCCGGGCCTACAAGGCTGCCGCACGACGGCTCCGATGGCATCGCTGGTGGGAGAGGAAGCCTACTGCTGATTCGCCAGCTCCGGAACCCGAGAATGAACTCTTCGTCATAGACATGCCGCCGGAAGAGCCCGGTCGAATGCAGGTGGGCTCGGACGCGGCTTCTCTGCCCGGAGCCATGCAAGATGAACTGCAGAACTTAAGACAGACACTTGCATGCGTCGGGAAATTGATCGGGGCGGAGAACATCCAGAGCGCAACGCAGCAGGATCTGATCCGACCAGATGGTGATCAGATACCAAGCCTGCATGGTAAGCGCCGCATGTCCTCGGAGACGCTCGCTACGTCGACTGTCGGATTATCGACCATCACGTTTACTGCGACGAGTAGTCGAGTGAGCCATGGGCCTGGGTCCTCTAAGACGGTGAAATCAGTGGACACGCTAGATTCGGCCCCTCCACCTAGCTACAGATCATGATCTGCACATGATGCACCTACAGTAGTACGGAATGAGAGATCATATATTCGGCCATGGCTCATTGCAGAAATGGTTCTGGAGAGATCATAAAGCTTATTAGTACATTGAACTGGTCACGGGTTCACCGATCAAGGACCAGTCGTGCGCGAACGCTACGCTGTCTACGCCTTCGGTCGCTTGACAGGCGAGTCCTCCTCCTCCTCCTCGTCGTCCTCGTCATCTTCCACCGTGAGTTTTCGCTTATTGCGCTGTACCCTGGAGCCTTCACCCGACTCATCCAAGACGTCGTCACCCAGCTCTTCTTCTCTGGCTTTCAGCTCCTCTTCGCGCGCGTTGAATGCTTTGAGTAGCGCTTCATAACCTTCCTCAACATTGGTGACCGTCTCCTCCAGCTTTTCGATGCGGTCGCTCAGATCCAATTGGATCAAGAGGTCCCGAGAGCGTTTGTAGAGACGCTGTTTGGTGAGCATGCGCCACCAGTAGTACCGCCGATCATCGGGGTCATCCGCATTGTGCTTCTTGATCAGAAGTCGGGCCATGTTGCTTCCGCCAGCTAGTCGCTTCTTAAGAGGGATCTGACCCAAGAGATACATTTCCGAAATATGAGCGAATTGAGTGGAGTCGATTTTGAACGAGGAGCGGATCTCTGAGAGCAGCTTGGTCGGAATCAGGGCGGATGTGGGCACGCGCCGAGGGCGGGGCTTCTTCGCCGGTACTCCATAAGGGTCTGGATTGATGTTCAGCTTGTGCTTCTGGAATTCTGGGCGAAGGATGTGGTAGTCGGCGGTATCGCGAAGGGCATCAAAGGCTTCATTCGGGTCCTCAACGGTCAATTCGGAAATCGTTGGGTCGCTAATGCAGGCACTGTGGATAGTCGTGTACAGATGAATACCGTGGCCCGAGCCTTGATGAGGAGGAAGTATGAGGAATTGAGCGATTCGCAAACGCGACGGAAGCTGAGCGGGTCTGATCGCCTCAGCCGGAGGGAAAGGGCTATCTCGGACGGCGGGCTTTTGTGTCTTGTCTCTCTGGTAATACCACCAACGATACGTTGTCGCATATCCGACAACGGAATACTGTGAAGCAGTGGGCACTGGCGGCTTGACCTTCTCATAGCTGAAAGCGTTGTTAGCATGAGAAGCGAATGCTGGGGACCAGTTATGAAGATGGTAATAAAAACGTACACAAAGTAGACCGTCCATCTTTCCAGCGTCCATTCGGGATCATCCGTGACAATGGGCGTTCCAGCTTCGATGAAGAGTGAAACAAAGACTTGCGCGCGATCCAACAGTCGTCGCACCTCCGGATCGGCTAAAGACCCTGCCCAGACCTCATATGTTCTCTGTCGGGTGACGTAGCTGTGAACTAGTTTGCCTGGAGGTACAAAATCCTTGGCGTCCTTGTCCTCCACGATAGCCTTCTCATAATCCGGGAGTACAACGAAAGCCTCTGGGAAACCACACAGTTGAAGTTAGGACAAAAGAGCTATGACGCCCACGAATCCGGCAGATGCCGGAGGGGGCAGAGATATGGCATTTCACTTTACCTTCAGGAATCCATGGCTTCAGAGTCTTCAGTAGATCGACGGCGGCGATGTCCCCCACGGGCTTGAACTTCTCGTCGTAGGATATGTGAATATGCGGGCGGAGGTCGTGGGCGGCGAATCGCATGCGGATAATCAGGCCCTTGTAGCCGAAAATCTGCTCTTCATCGCCGAAGATAGGGTATGTGAATTGAGGTTGGAAGTCGGAGAGAGTCTTGAGTCTCGCATCTTCGGAAGGTTGGACTAAAGACAGGTGGAGGGCGTCATTGGCGTCGCAAGTCCCTGTAGAGGCGGGTTTTTTGTGGTCAGTAGAGTGGGTGGCAGAGGGAGAGGGGAGAAGGGGCCTTCATTACAGTCGCCGTCGCTTGCCATGATACCAGACACGTAGTTGAGAAAAGGTTTGAGGAAGCGATGAGCTCAAGAAGATGGGTGAAAGAAGGCTACGGTAGGCTCTCTCGTTCTCTCATTAATTGCATTTGAAGGCGGCGCGTGTTGCCCGAATCGATCGCGTTGCGCGGCGGAGCTGGGTATAACCGTTTCTGGTTTAGCGCGTCGAGGGCCAGAGTGAGCTCGGCTGCTGTGCTGAAGAAGTAAATGAGGATTACTTTTGTCATTACAATGATTATGGGGCAGCTGTACAGGTGAAGAAAACCTTCGTGTATCAAGTGGTGCAACGTGCTGGGATTGATGTCCTCGTTGCAATCTGTACCTTCCAATCATATGAGCACCATGTTCTACATCTTGACCATGCATAACCTCGGCTCCTACTTTTGCACTACAATGTATGCCATCGCGCTGGCGAAAACCATCTGAAAGCTGCTTCATCAGCAGTCTGCATCCTCATGGTTGGTCTGACTACTGACAGAATACATGAGCCATGAGATTATAACGAAAGATTGATCCAAGGATTATCGAAAATAGTGTCTTCGCTTCACAATCCTCAGCAAATCGCATTACAAGGCCTTGGAACTATTGGTATATCTACGGCAGCTCTGCATCTTTCTCGTAATAATACAATCAGCAACACGCTTGACATAATGCTCGTTTCTGAAATTGTATGACGGAGACACCTTCTAGATATTTGAGTTAGCACCCACTCGCGGCTGACCACCTTACCGCTGATGACAGGGCTGCGACATATGCGGGAGAGTCGCTCATTTGCGAAAGATGTTTGCAACTCCAGTCAATGTTGAAGAGTGTGCGCATATCAGCCCCTATTGCGCAGGAGTAATTACTGCAGGGTCTCGAGTTGAACAGAGCCTCTGGGCTCCAGCTTTTGCCCACTTGAAAACCAGTATGTTGGGTATCGCCGCGTCCGCTTAATGACTCAAGATGTGAGATAGAACTCGTTTGTTGGTGGCTCACCCCTTCAATCTAGCCCATATTATGCCGTTGCTAAGAACTATTCTTACCCTCAAGACTCTGCCCAAGCTTGTTGAGTTCGCGCGTGCGTGTTTCTCTGTACCTGGTTCAAGACATCGGCCAGTGGTTACTCGAAACGAAACGCCGGACTTTTGGGACAAGCGGTTAGTATTTGTGTTACTGAGAGGGGCAAGAATCTGTCGTCGATGCGGAGGATCTCGATACAATCTTGGTGGCCAGTCTTGGTCTACCCTGAGATGGGCTGGGAACAATATCTTCGAGAACTACCAACAAAGAGATGGAGAAGGTGGCATTGGAGCCTTCTTCTAAGCACACTCGGTGAAATCATGCAGGAGATATGAGATGAACCAAATTGATGCTTGAGGCGAAGCAGGGCCCGAGTGGAATGAATGGTTCTCCCAAGTCAATCGCGTATGCAAGGCAGAAATAAAGCTCACTGAACGCGCGACTTTATGAGGATTGGGAAAGGATTGTATCTATGATCCGTATGCCTATACTGAGTACAAATAATTAGTGCACTCACTGCATGTAAAATGGGTGTCTCCAATTCCGTCATTCCATCCCTGAGCGGTGGGTCTTCCCGTGTCGCTTGACTGGGCCCGGGCGTTGTTCCTAGCCCGTAGGTTTCTATTGTTGAACTTTTGTCCACTTGCCCACTGCGGCAGCGGATCGCAATAATCAACTCCGTCGACTTAAGACTTAGACTAGGCCTAACCCAGAGCTGTCCACCTCCGCCACGTTTTCAGTTCTCGTCTACTCCGACCGCCTTGGATAGACACTTCTAAAGCCCTCCGCTCTTTCGGACCTTGTCCTCTTCTTCCCTCATTATCCTCATTGTCCCCCCACGTTCTGCACAATTTGTTGTCAGGCGTCTACGCACATCGCAGCGCCACCGACGTAGGATCAGGGGCGTGCCGAGTACATTATTTTCGCAATTGGCATCATGATTGAAACCTTCTAGACCGGCGAAGAAACAATGGAGGGACTTTTCACTCTGCTCGCCCTGAGCATTGTGATGGCAATTACGTGAGGATCCATCGTTCAATGAAGGCATCGTCCACTGTCACAAACAACTCCCTCGCTAACCGCTTCTCTTCGACTCCGGCAGATCTTTTGTTGTGGGCTCATTACCACTTGCATTTACACTCTCCCCTTCCCAGCTGAGGCTAATATCCTCCATTGGTATGGGAGTATTGGTTGGAACATCCTTGATCGTCATTATCCCAGAAGGGGTGGAGACCCTGTATAGCGCGAGCTCGCCTGCCGTCCGCAATGGTATCAGCACCCGGTCGACATCGACAGCCGTCAATTGGCCAATCCATAAATCGCCGGCAGTCAAAATCTACGAGCCGAGAGATATTTTGAGTTTTGGAGATGCAGCGGAGGTGCCCCCGCCGGACTTTGACAGCGTGCCGACTACACCTACGCTACGTGTCACCCGCGATGAACAAAACCAGATACATGAACGGAAAGAAGAGACATCAGGCGACACCGAACACGAAGCTCATGAGGAAGAGAGCTCGCCTCACGCATGGATTGGAATCGCGCTCATCAGTGGCTTCATACTGATGTACCTTATTGACAAGCTCCCTGTTTTAGCGTCGCCGAGCAAACAGGAGAGAACCCCCTACCACATATCACTGGACAACCTGGGATCGGGGTTGCGACGGAATTCATCCCCGTCGCGGGAAGGAGGTCTCCTGGATGCTGGAAATGTCCCCAAAAGTAGTCACAGCTTCGCCACGACTACCGGACTCGTCATCCATGCTGCCGCTGATGGAATCGCCCTGGGTGCCTCTAGTTCCGACTCCGGACTCAGCTTTATCATATTCCTTGCGATCATGGTACATAAGGCCCCGGCTTCCTTCGGTCTCACTTCTGTGCTGCTCAAGCAGGGGCTCTCTAGTCGCACCGCCAGAGCTCATTTGTTGGTTTTTAGTCTGGCAGCCCCCTTGGGAGCTTTGATGACTTTCTTATTTGTGCAAGTCATGGGTTCGGGCTCTAGCGGCGACGAAATGAGTACGCGTTGGAGGACAGGTGTACTGCTGCTGTTCTCTGCTGGTACCTTCTTGTGAGCTCTCCCTTAGACGCGCCCCGCTCAAGATCAAAAACTTAACTGTTCTGCAGATATGTCGCCATGCATACGATGCAAGAAAATAGTCCCAACACCTCCCGTGAATCTCCCGCAAATGGGTATGGTGATCCTCGGGATCTCCCAGCGAAGCACGACAAATCCATGAGAGATCTTATTGCTTCTGTCGTTGGCATGATCTTGCCATTATTCCTGCAATTAGGCCATGCTCACTAGTCTCAAAGGTCGTTACGAGGCGGTTCATTCTGCGCCTTGTTGACTAATCTTATTTTGGATTCTACCCTTGTTCGACTTTATCGATCCACGAGTGCATAATCATCAAAGGACGTCGCTGCGGAAACAACACTTCCCCTCCCGTTGCTCTCAGGGGGACTGGTATTATAGACCACATCGTGACTAGGATTAAAACGCTTGTTTGACGCTATAATCTGCTTGTGATATAAATCTTGGGATAGAAACGGTGCTGCGATTTTCTGCTTCCTATTTTTACCATGCATTGGGGAGTCTTCACTTTGTATACATTTTTTGTGACAAGTTCAAGTTATTCATCCTGCATATGTATGAGCTGGTAGTACCAGTCATGATTACGTATGTAGATTGACCCAGGAACTATGGAGGGGAAAAGGAGGGGGTCCCCGGAAAACGGGAACCACGATCACTCCTTTCCCCGCATAACGACGGCAAGCTTGAAATCGTCTTGGATTTGCCCCGATTCCACGGTTGTCGGACAGATCCTGCCGACTCCCATCCAGGGACTCGGAAGAACCATATCTCTGGTCAGGCGCCCTTTATTCCGACAACTAGCGCTCCTAGGTCGCATTCTCTGCGCGCGCGCCGGGGG